GTAAGCCATGTTTTCTTTCAGTTTTTAGTACCAAAATTGTCATCATGACCAATGTCATCTACTAGTAAAGGGCAAAATGAACACCTCCGAAGACACATTACGTTGTCAGTTGCAAAATAACGTGCAGCCGAAGTTATTTCCAAGCACCGAACTACTCCGAGCGACTGCTCTGCATTACACGTAACTTACTTTGTAAAGCGGCTCAGAAGTATCTCTGATACCAAATGTACATTTTAAATTCCTACTTACATAAGGCGGCCATGCCTTTGTAAAAGTAAGGGACGTTCGGCAGGGAAATGGTAATGACTGCCAGGTGAAGAGTAAGTTGCTAATAAGGTATTATTACGTGCTCTTAATTCCCACTGGGTTAAAATTGTGAAAAGTGTGTGAGTATGCACGCATATACAAACATATACATACACACAATTTGTGCATACCAAAACCAGAGTTACGTAGAAATTATAAAAATAATACTTAATGTATGCGTGCTTCTCATGGTTTTTTCATTATTCTAAGCCATTAATGAAATCGTAATTTTAATTTAATTTAATTTAGATATTTTGTAAAACATGTGCTGGTTCCAAAATATTAAAACACTTCATACATATGCATGTATGCAATTAAATGGCAGGCAAATACTTTGCATATATATTATTAAAAGAAAAAATTAAATAAAACCAATGCGGTAAAACAAGAAAATCCAATCCAGGACCCGCTGCGCTAGTCGGTGGAGCATTCGAGCCTTCAAATGATGAGTTCCCCTTATTCTTCCTTAGTTTAACATTCAATTAAAAATGTATTAAATTTTTTTCAGAAAAGTTCATCAATGAGAATGGTGGCGATAAAGCGCAATATATAGCTGCATCGATGTCCCTTTTTTAATTTGCCAATAACCGCAAGTAATTGAAAGCACGCAACAAGATGTAATAATTAACTTTTTTATGCTTAATTTGTATGTGTTATTGTGAATTTGTATGCTAAAATGTCTATTTCCTATTTATATTTTCGCGACTGTAGATGAGTCCGCGGAAAATTCGCATTTCGTTTAGTTTCTAGATGTTAAGCAATCTATGTATGAGGTTTTAATGAAATATCTTTAAATAAAGGGTTATAAAAATGTTTATAAAAAGCTTTCTTTTGAAAATTTTTAGTAAGTTTATATTGATACGCTTATATAAAACTTTTTTTGAACCTTTATTATAAGTTTACACTTTTACGCTTATAAAAAGCTTTCTTTTGAACATTTATTACAAGTTTATATTTCTACGCTTATAACCAATGTTCCTTTTCAATTATATTACGCTTACTTTCAAGCGTTTTATAAACAAAAAATCAATGTTTTGTAAGCTTAATGTTTATAATTGAAAACTTAAAAAAAACTTTCTTTAAGTTTATTTTGCTTGTTGGGTAATTTCGAGTTGCACTGAAATGTAAAATGTGAAAATATTGAAATTTTATTTGCTGCGACAATTGTAGAGTATCTCTTTGGGTTCGCCTGTGATATGGTCGAACTGATAATTTTCAAAAGGTGGTTCACTGAGTAATTTATTAAATTCGCATTCGAAGGAACTTATGGATTTTTGCAATTTGCTGTCTCCATTGAACTGGAAGAGTAAAAAAAATTATCATCTAAATCACAAAAAAGTAGTAATTTTGCAACTTACTTTTAAATACTCCTTGCCAGTGTGTACAATTTTCTTGACATCATGCACAACCTCGAAAATATGCTGGTAGCCGCCCACTTGGCACTTGAGTATGATAGAGCATACATCCATGAAATCGTTTTTATGCTTACATATAAATTCAGGAAACTAAATACAAATGATTTCAATTTGTAATATTTTATACCTTCTACATAAAATAATTATAAACATACATAGTTTTTGGTAAATTGCGACTTAAAGAATAAATCTGCATGCTTCATAGCCATGAGACGTTCAATCATAACATTTAATTTATCAATCAGATCTTTACCCAGCGGACGTGGCGATGCTGTGGGATCGTAGTCATTTGCAAATTCTGTAAGATTCTGCTCCAATACGCGTATGTCATAGCTTAACCAATTCGGCGGCATTTTCTCTTTTATCTTCAAGTACTCAACTGCAGTTGCTGTATCCACATCAGCGGCAGGTACTGCTGGCCAAAAATCTGATATTTGTTCATCGAAAAACTGCTCAAGCGGATTATTATTGGCTGCCAGCAATTGTTGTGTTGCCGTACTTGTTGCGGCTGTTGTTGCAACGGCTGCTGCGGTAGTGCTATTCGTTTGATCCACAAGCAACGCATCCTTTTTGATGGGATTATATGTGCCCGTTTTGAAATAGGTGCCATTTACAGTGGCTTGACGCTGACTACCTTCAGAGCCTTCAACCACTGTATACAGATAGTTCTTATTAAGCGCGTTCTGTTGTGATTTTTCAGTGGATGTATTGAGAAAATCAAAAGAGTCGTCCAATAGTGAGTTGACTGGTTGTAGCAGCTTGATGGTTGTGGTGCTGAGTGCCACGCGCGTGCCATTGCTTTCCGTATTATGATATACATTTTTCTGTGATTGTACCAAATTGTCCAAATTTACAAATGATTTGATTAGATTCTCAACGAAATCCATTGTGGTATCCTGCCAAGCGGCGAAACTAGCAGCGAAGTCGGGACTGAGCGCAGCTTTTACTTTATTAAGGCCCTCTGGCGTGTTGTACACGTAACCCTTTATTATAATCCATGCATTGATGACACGTGTGAAGACGAAAATAAAATCCTTTACAGCCCAAGCAATTCCCTGCGAATTGATATTGGGTAAGACGCCATCTGGACGTATGAGATCCTGTTTCATTCGCGCACACAAACTATCGATCTTTTTGAAACACGGTCGATTGCGATGTGTGTAGGCAAGTTTCTCTGCTATTTCGCTGCCGCGTAAGGCAAGACGAGTGAGCTCATTGAATTTGGCTTGAGAAAGCGTAACGGTGCAGCTACCCGAACTACCAGGCGAGTTAGTATAGTTCGTGGCATCGCCACCAGCGCCACCACCAAGAGCATTATTCGGACACACGCTAGAGGTGCTGTTGAGATCAAAGTAGGAAGAAAAAAAGTATTGATGAGTAAAACTAAAATAATATTTATAAGGTCGGTGTTATACAGACAAACTTTTGTTTGCCAAATTAAATGGCGGCTGCTTAGTTTGCTCGGAGGTGGTTATGTCGAGTTTGGCACAGGGTTGCACGTTCATTATGGTTTTCATGGCTATTGCCAACACGAAATGAGAATTTCAGATGTACATAACGCGCACAATTTAAAATTTTTGTATATGACAACACCGAATTTGCTGCAGTTTGACCAAACAAAATTAGTTTGCTGTGAGAGTCGCCAAACTCGCTCTCTCCGAGTTTGCTACAACAACAATTGCAAGCAGTTTGCCAAACAAAATTTCTGCATAACACCAACCTAAAAAACTTTAACATAATCAGTGAGTCATTATTTACCATAGAGCGTCAACATAACTGAACTAAAGAAAAACTTGGACATGAGATCTTAGCAAGTTTTGGATATTTTTCTTTAGTTTATTTGATGTTAGACATATGGGTCAAACTTTGCAGAAATGTCATAATTTTTTACAAAGTGTGAAATTTGGATTTATATCGTGTTTGTTAAGCAATCAGCTATACTTTCATAGAAAACATTGAATAAACTAAAGAAAAATATCCAAAAATGTTAAAACAACGCGTGTTTCAAAATTTATTTGTTGAATTTTTTAAATAAAGTAGATATAAAATGTGTGAAAAATGGAAAACCGAAAGTTCATAAATGAAAACATGATGAGTAAGAAACTTTAAATTTAAATATATTTTTTTAACTTTAAATTACAAAAAAAAAAAAATAATTTTTGCTTAAATACCAACGGAATTATTTTTACTTTCTTGATTCTAATATTCGAGCGAATAAATTTTACTCGACGTAACCATCAAACGCTATTCCATATGTATGTAAACTCACTCTGAACTTAATAAAATCGGCGAACTGCGCCGTGATGAAGTTTCTATAATAAAATTAAAAAATTTTAAAATATTAAAAATTAATAAAATTTTTCATTGTAACCTTTGCTCTCCTTGTCCGTACCAGCGCCACAAAAATTCAATAGATTCTCCTTAGCCAAAGAAGCGTTAATCTCGTTCATCGAATTGAAATTCAGTGGCGAATTCTGACTAACACACTGCAATCCAATCTGAATATTAATTTTATTCGAGTCATTCGTTTGTGAACGCAGCGGTGGCGCGCCATTCGACGAATTGCCGCTGCTAGTAGCAGGGGAAGTAACAGAACCATTTGGCTCATTTGCAGTTTGCGATACCGGCGATATATTTATACAAATTTTCTTTCTTATTATTATTTAATTTAATTTAATTTTCTCCTAGCTTTTTTATGGATGTAATCAAGGCACATTAAACAGGTAGTATCAGTAGAGCAAAAACAACATTTGCGTGTATTTTGTTGTTGCTTCTGGTATCGAAAGTGTCAAAAACTGTTCTGAATTTTTTCTTCTAAATCAAAGCGTGCCATGTGAAATACAAAAAATTATAAATCATTCGGATTTTGGTCACGAGCGGGTGTGGTACGGTCGCGTCTGTTCGCTTATAGTTCGCAGTTATCCCACGTTTTGTGCTTGTGAGAAATTTCTAGTGTTTTTTGACAAAGGCTTTTTGTGTGGGCCGCGCTAGTATATAAACTTTACTTTTATACTTAAATTAACTCGGTCGTCGCGAAAATTAAAATTAGTGTTAACAAACTCAGGTGAGTGGTCCTGGCTAAATTTTTTATTGTCTTTTTTTTCTTGGATTGGGGGAAAAAAGATTGCCTCAGGTTGCCGGCAAAAAAGAAAAAGAAGCTGCCGTTTAAGGCACACGCTAGCAAAATGGCACGACACGAAGGTCGGTGGCGTCTTTTGTGAAAAATGCCACTAGTGGCACATCCAAAAAAGCTAAAATAACTGAAAGCGAGGATGTCACTGGCTTTTACGAGCTGTCCAAGGATGGTATTGTAAGAATCTGTGAGGACTCCTTAGCAGATAATAATGCAAATAATATTGATACGACAATGGACTGTGATTTGAGGTTAGGGTCAGTAGGCAGTGAAGGTTCAGTGGTATCAAATACAGTTAGTGCTAATACGCCAAAAGAGCGCGATAATAAGTAAGATGGTGGTTTAGTCTCCTACCCACAGCATTTTCGCGGTGAAATTTTTGTGCTGGTTGACTCTTCGGCCAGTACAGTTATGAACAATGATAAATTGACGACAGGTCTAGAGCTTTTCAGCCAAATCAAAGACTTGAGATTTAAGGATATGGATCTCATCCATGCGGTTGGTAGGTCACTCTACAAGGTGACTTTTACAAGCACGTACTCTGCAAACACCTTTTTATTTGATACTCGCATTGTGAAGCGTGGTTTAAGGGCGTTCGTTCCTCGGTCAGCACTCGAGAGCTACGGGGTCATCAGAGGTGTACCCACGTGTTTTAGTGAGCAGGAGATTGCCAAGGAAGCAATTAGTAATATTCCAATAGCATCAGTTAGGCGCTTCACGCGCAAAGATGAAGCTAATAGCACTTATGTCCCCACTACTACTTTAAAAATTGGGTTTGAAGGTAATGAAATCCCAAAGACCATTGTTTACAATTACACCAAACTGACTGTTGAATACTTCGTACCATCCCTGAGGCAGTGCGACAACTGCGGAAGGCTAGGGCACACCAAACTCTCGTGCAAAAGTAAGGCTAGATGTTTGAAGTGCGGCAACCCAGAATGTAAGGACGCAGACTGTAGAGACAAGTCATGCATATTGTGCGGTAAAACTGGGCATACTGCCAAAGAGAAAAACATCTGCCCCCAATGGGAGAAAGAACTAATGATAAATCGAATAAAAACAGTTAAAAAAATGTCCCGTAAAGAAGTCTTGGATCAATATTACCCCAAGACTAGCAATCGCTTTGACATATTAGATTCTGATGAGACCAGCTTTCCTCATCTTAACAGTAACCCAAGTGAGGTGGTTGACAAGGACATGCATATAAACAGAAATTTTACCAAAAAATTATATAGCTATGTGACCAAAAAACAAACTCCCAAAGAAACCAAACCCCTTAGCAAAGCACCCCGTAGACCCCCTGCGCTGATAAATCCGGTGTACTATTCCCCGGAATACCAAAAAGGTATAGTGACAGAAATTGAGCGGCTAATGGCCGAAATGATCAAAATCACCCAAAAAATGTCTATCGAAAATAGAGACACGCAAACCTTTAACGACATCCAATCAGTAAAAAACAAATTTGAACGTATTTTAAATCAAAGGGATGAGATAGAAATTTCAAACTCCTTCACTAGCAATGAAGATCCTGCAATATAACTGCCAATCATTAAAAGCAAACCTTGACACTATTGAGTACTACCTAAACAAATACAATTTTGACTTAGCATGCTTTAACGAAATCTTTTTGTCCAACACCACCCATCATAGAAAAATTCTAAACTATAGTTTAATCAAAAAATGTCGTAGCGATGGGTATGGTGGTGTAGCCATAGCCATCAAGCATGACGTTAAATTTAAAAAACTTGCTTACAACTCCGAGTATGATGTTTTGATGATCCAAACCAAAAACCTTAACCCAAACATTACAATTTGCAATATATACTTTCCACCCAGAATTAGTATAAATGATTTCAATAATGAAATAACCAGGATTTTAAATTTTTTAGAGGCACATAGAAATATATTCTTAGTAGGTGACTTTAATGCCAGAGCAACCCTGTGGGGCGATAGAGTTGACTCAAGCAGAGGCAGGCACCTCATCAGACACATTCAGCAATCATCTTTGCGATGCTTAAATAGTGGGGACCATACGTTCAAAACGGATATTCGGTCGGAAAATGGCTCAGTGCTTGATCTGGCTTTTAGCAATTGTGGCTTGTCATGTGACTGGAGTGTTGATTCCACCAGGATTGGGGGTAGTCATCACTTTCCCATCTCCATTGAAATCAAGGAATTAAGCAAAAATGTTACTAAATTTTTAGCAAAGAAAAAGTTATGTGAATCCCTTAAAGAATTGGTATGTGAATCTAACATACATGACTTTGAAAGCAAAGTACAAGAAGAGATTAAAAGAGCCACTTACGTGACAAGTGTAAATCGAACCCCCAAACCCTGGTGGAATAAGGATGTTGACAAAGCGTATAGATTCTTCCGGATTAAGTTCCAAAAGGCCAAACAATGGCCCAGCCCTAACAATTTCGAAAATCTGCTTGAACAACGGAAATCTTGGAAAAAAGTTGTTAAAGATGCCAAAAAGAAGAATTTCAATAGCAAAATCGACCAAATAAACTCAAGTCTAGGGAAAAATGCGTGGAAGTTTGTCAAGACGTTACGTGGCGATCATAGTCAAACTGGTAAGGGTGTCTGGAATGAGGAATATAACCAAGACTACCTTAATATGCTGAAAGAACAAATCCCGACACATGTATCGGTGACTGAAATAAACTGCCCTACGCAGCCTAGCCCTAACCTTGCGATTACATGTGATGAGATCAACCTCATACTTAATAGGAAGAAAGACACAGCGGCAGGTGCTGACAACATCTCTTATAGCATGCTGAGGTCACTGTCTGACTTCACTCTAAATACTTTCAAAACCTCCATCAATGACATTTTGCTGTCCAACCAAATTCCCCCCCACTGGCGCGTAATTAGGATTGTACCTATACCCAAAAGGGACAAAGACCTCACGCAAATAGAGAATTTCAGACCCATATCGCTCATTTCAGTTATGTTAAAAATAGTAAATAGTGTTATTAAAGAAAGACTATACGAATTTGTGGAGTCAAACTGCATCCTACCAAATAACACCTTTGCGTACAGGAAGAACAAATCGACAGCGATGTGCATTAATCACATGCTACACCAAATTGGGGTTCTCAGAGGCAACAGAAAGCAGGTAATCTTGTGCTCCACAGATGTATCAAACGCGTATAATTGCGTCAACATTCATACCCTTCAACAAATACTTGTAGACCTGAAAGTAGAGAAACTCTATATTGACTGGATAATAAATTTTTTGGCTAGCAGGACGTTAAAACTAGGAAACAGTACAGTCGAAATTAGTAATGGGCTACCGCAAGGAAGTGTACTCTCACTAATCCTCTTTAATATTTATACGAAACGACTACACAATCTATCTGACTCTAATATGCAAATATACCAGTTCGCTGACGACTTTTTCTTTGTATCATCTGGCAATAGTTTTCCCGAGGCTAACAGCAACCTCCAGGCAAAGCTAGATAATTTCATTGAAATCTGCAGCCAACTACAACTAAGTTTCAACCCAAGCAAAACTAAAGTTATGCATGTTAGCAGAGGACCAAAAAAGGAAATTAATGTCACTATCGGCCAGACTAGACTGCTACAAGTTAATGGAATTAAAGCACTGGGTAGAGTAGTAAACAGCTCTCTGACCATGAGTAGTCACTACCAAACCACCATAGAGGCAACGTCCAACAATATCAAGTTCTTCAAATACCTAACAAATGTCAAATCTGGCCTACATCCTCAGAAAGCCATGAACATATACAAAAGTCTGGTCAGGTCTAAAATTGAGTATGGATACACCACTGCTGCTAATGGTGCCAAATCTGCCTCCAAAAAAATACTCACTCTACAAAACAAATTTCTCAGAAGATGCTTGGGTTTAACGCCCTCTACCCCTATTCCCACCATGTATGCACTGGCCAATGAACTGCCTCCTGCAGCGAAAGAACTGGCTAAAATGTTTGCGGTTAATGACCCCATAGTTGCTTCGGTTAGATCCAGCCCCCCTGTGAACTCCAGTTACTCCTTCACATATAACAAATTCAGGCAAATTTTCGATCGGCTCGAACCTTTGGGGGATCACCCCACCTCCACCAACTGTGAAATAATCGACAACGCTTTCCCTGGCCTCAAGGCCACAATGACTGCTGAATGTGCCAATGCTCACTTCTCTAGGATGCTCAACAATTACAAGGAGAGGAGGTTTAACATCATGTTCACCGATGCATCGCTCTCTGACAGTAGGACTGGTTGTGGCATATATAATTACAACTGTGACACTGAAACTGCATTCCACCTACCCTTTAAGTCTTCTACAGCCTTTGGGGAACTCTTGGCCATTGAAGAGGCAATTAATATCGCCTCCAATAATAACTACTGCAAATTAGTAATTTTTACTGACAGCCGTGTGTCGTGCCAAACCCTTAAAAACCCTAACTCCCTCAATAGCATTGCTAGTAGAATCCTACGAAAAGTCCACGTAGCTGCTTTCGACTGTATCCACATTGTATGGATACCCAGTCACAAAGGTATTCCGGGGAATGAAAGGGTAGACAGCATAGCCAAAAAGGCAATTGACAATAGTAGTTGTAAAGACTACTTATATACAACTGACGAAGCTATCAAGCAAATAAAAGAAGCTCTGTATAATGAATGGTATGCCGGTTTTTTGGCATATACAAATGACCATCCCAACTTATATGCTACTATCTTCCCCACGAGAAGAGATACCGCATGGTTCAAAAAACTTTCACTGTCTCCTGCTAACATTAAAACCTTAAATCGAATACTAACAGGCCATACCTATGACAAGAACTACCTGTTCAAAATTCAAGCCTATCGGTCAAATCGCTGCTCGTGTGGTCAAGCTGATGGATACGTCCATCAGACCTTCCACTGCAGGCGGCACTTGACGGTTAGATCCGGATATGATATCTTCCAAACACATAACAATTTTGAGGCAATCTTTCGTGACAAAAATTTAGCCAAGATAACTCAACTGGTTAACTTTTTACAAAAAGCCAATATCGTCTTTTAACATTTATGTTTAATGTACCTTTTGTTTATAACCACATGTGTATATGTATAGTACTGGTGTTGTAACTAGTACATTCGTTTTCATGTATCTATTATTTATACCGTCTCCACCTCGCTCAAACCCCTTCAATCCGCTCGTTGGCGCATCAAGCCGCCGTATACAATGTTAACAAAAGCCGCCCCCATACTACATACTACCTAAGCAAGTTCGGCACGCCCAGTGCAATCGTTTCAACAAGTCGTCTAACGTGTCCCAACCTCCACCTTCGATCAATTCGTAATACGTACCGACCTACAACCACACCAGTCAGGAGATAACATACACGGAGGAACAACATACATGGAGGAACGACCTGGAGTATGCGGTCCTAACTCTTAGGAACTGGCCAATAATCCAAAACCCAAAAAATGGATATCCCAAAAATTATAAAAAATAAAAAATTGAAATTGGAAAAAATAAAAATTGATGCAACTTTCTTTCCTAGTAAATTTGTTTGCTTCTCGAAGCATTGATCCATCCTTTGCAAGGCCCAGTAATCAGCGGTTGTGCTGCTGAGTTGGGCGAACGTTCCAAAAGCTGCTATTCAATCGCTTGTTTTGTATGGAAAAAGGTTTCACATGCAAATGGATTTTAACAATTCAGAATTTTTGTGAGAAAAAATTAAAAATATTTGACATTTTCGAGACCAAATAATTTGAAAATAAATCAAATCAGCTGCTCTACTGATACTACCTGTTCAATGTACCTTGGATGTAATTGAATCGAAATTTCTTGGCTACTACGTTTTACAAATTTTGTTAAAAAATTTAACAAACGCAAAGTGGCTACGGCTATATTGATCATGAAAGATTTTTGGATATGTACATAGATGCATATGTACGATATATAAAATGCAATATATCTACTCATTTCTGCTGCTGAATATTTCCGCCGGATACAAATTTTAGTTCTAACTAGCCCTTCTATTGAAAATAGCACCGTACACTTTATAAATGTTTTCTTTACTTTAGTAATAAAATATTCACTATAATGCCCCACAATTAACCAATCCGCCAGCAATTTCAATTTATGTACTTATAGGGCATTCGCACGAGGCGATTTTACAGGCAACAAAAGTTGAATGCAGAGTTGAATGAGAAGTTGAAAGTGAAAAAGTTGCTATCCCTATTCAGACGAGGCGATTTTCAATTCAACACGAATAGTTATTTACATTATTTAAAATGAATTTAAATCGCAAAATTTTATCAATTGGCGTAAATTTGGTAAGCCAAGCGTTCGTAGAAGTGCTTTTAGCGAAGCTGAAAGATAAAATAAGAGTAAAAAGTAGAAAAGAAGAAAAAGTATGTATACAGAACAGTGTTGGCATTTTTGGTACAATTGTACTTGTTTGATACAATTTCATTTACAACATACTTTCCTACTACGCAGTACTTTTTAGTACAATTTTGTAATCAATACTAAATATATATAGCTCTGAAAATTCACAGCAAGAAATTTTTTGTGTTCTCTTTGGTTCGCCTGTTCGTATTTACCTTTGTAATTTTGAAAAATGGCTTCAACGAACCAGTATAATATAGCCTAGTCAAATTTTTAAAGAAACTTTTCGATACTAAGTTTTATTAAAACAAAATGTCGAAGTCAGCTTCATATAGAAACAAAGTCTTCGTTAGTTATAAGAAGAGATTTTCGTAAATATAATACCTTTACGGCACTCACATATTGACAAGATTTTACTATTTATTTTATTATTCTTTAATTTTAATTATCTGTTTATAAAATATAATGTATTCTTTAAGAAAAACTGTACAAACCTAAGATTAAATCTTTGCGAAACATCCAAAAACCAACATACTTTCGTAAAAATTTCGAGCTTTATTAATATTCTTTAGTTTTTAGCCCATTCAATTTTAGTATAATAAAGTTCAAGTTTAAAGTAGCTGGGACTTACCGTTGAACTTGGCATTTTTTTTGTCGACGATGTCAGCCATTTTCTTCCATACGAAGTGTGTCCGATGATTTTTTTATATGGAGAAAACTAGCAACACCTTCACCAAAGAAATCTTAAAAAACTTAGTTATATTAAAATTTAATGGGCTAAAAAACCGCACGCTCAAAATAAATCTAGGAAATCGAATTAAAAAGCTCGAAATTTTTACGAAAGTGTGTTGGTTTTTTTTAATGTTGCACAAAGTTTGAACCTTGAATTTGTACAGCTTTTCTTAAAATATAAACCGTATTTTTACAAAAAATAATTAAAATTGAATACTATTAAGATAAATGGTCAAATCTTGTCGTAAAGTTTTGATAAGCACTTGAAATGCTATTAAAATGTCAAATTTTAGTACTGAATCCAAAGGAAAATGTCTTTTTATCCATTAATAATAACTTAAATATGCTTTTTGTTAAGATGTATACCTGAAAATGTGTGCATACATATTTGCGTTAAATGCAGTACATGTGCACGTAGAATCAATTTGTAAAAGTGTAAACTACGTAAACGTATGTACATAAACAATAAAACTTTCTCATGAATACCATAAATTCATTGGTCTTGTAGGGAATGTACTAAGAAAATATATGAGCGAATTAAAAAGTGTATACAATTTATAGCCGAAAAGTACATTTTTTGTATAGATTTCGTACTGAAGGAACAATTTAATTTCCCAACACTGATACAGAATGTAAACAAACACAGGGTTGCAAGGAAAAAAAGTTGAACGAGCTCAAATAGGGCATTCGCACGAGGCGATTTTACAGGCAACAAAAGTTGAATGCGGAGTTGAATGAGAAGTTGAAAGTGAAAAAGTTGCTATCCCTATTCAG